AAATATTCATGAATCCATCATTTGAATTTTTCTTTTAAGTGGTTACTTCTTTGTAATGATTACTCTTTTAGTAGTTATTTTTGTGGGATGAAGCTCAACTGTTTTTCTAACTGTTCTTTTTCAGAAGATGCAAAATTCTTGGTAATTTGGAAAATAAATTTTTTACATCACATTCACATTTTTTTCTTCATTAAAAATATAGCTACACTCAATGTTTAATTTTCACAGAAATGGGAATAAAATTCTTAACATAACTAAGATTTAATATGCTTGACTTGGGAATATAATAAGAGAACCTATTTAAACTTTTGGCTGTGAATCTTCCTAAACTAATACAATAGATTATTCAATTATATTTGTTGGTTGGGTCACCTACTTTTAGAACTTTAAGTTTTTGTTTGTACATACTACTCCTGTGGAACTTAAAAAAATAAGAGTTTATTGCCCATGTGGAAAGCACATACCAAAATTTGCATCAGGTTAATTTTTTTCCCTTAAATTGTGGTATTCTTTATGTTTTCTTTCAGACATAAATTTTTACAAATTTTATTTATAGCTTTTAGAAGAGTTAGTGAAGTCAGATTTAAACAAAAGTAGGTGTGTTGTAAACTTGCCACGAAACGTTTACACTAACACAGGAAATTTGTCTCTTAAAAATTTTCTGCTGTCTTTCTGGATATAGTTTAAGACCTCTCAGCTTTTGGATCACAAAAGGCTAAACTATATTATATAAGGCATTTCAGAAAAACCAAACATCTTGTTATAATTTTGGATTTTATTAGAGAAGCTGAAATCTCTCATGGGAAACCTGTGAATAGGAGATACCCTGAAGAGTTTTGGTAATCCAGCCAACTAGTTGGCAGTCTTAAAAATCCTGAAAGTTCTCTTTAATTTATCAAAAAAAAAAAAAGCCACCATTACCTGCTGAGATCTGCTGAACTAATCTTCCATGCTCACGTAAACATATGAAGAATATGCCAAATTATAAAATCACCACATTTTCAAGTAGGAATGCCTCATTTGATCACTATGGAAAATAAGAGATTCTGATAGTTATGAATAAAAATTTGGTTTCTAATTGGATATCTGTAATGATACTGTATGCAAGCTTTGGAAATGCCAATTTTAAGATCTTAAATGGAAAATGCTTACTGCTGGGAATTAGAAAAAAATTGCTTAAGTTCGAGCGCTGGTTTGTATCGGGGTTGTTCTGTAACAATAGTACTTTAGTTAGCTGTGTACATTTGGATAAGCTAGTCACCCTGTGCCTCTTTTTTCTTATCTGTACAGGGTTGTTTTAAAGATAAGAGATAATTTATGGCAAGTTTCTAAACTTTGTCTGGTATACAACTGCCTCTTAATAAATATACGCTAGTAATATCAGTCAAATCGTTCTTTGAGTCATATGTAAAAATGGTTTTAAGTGTAAGAATTCTTATTTTAGTTCTCTTAGTTGATTTTTTAAAAAAAATTGTGTTGTTTCAGAATAATAAATTTCAGGGTCTGTAAATCTGATATATGTAGGGTAGTTCTTGACAATAGTTCTCACTTTCATATATTATGCATTGGTACTTTTAAGCCTTCTTTCATCACACCTATTTCACCACCATTCTTTCAGTCTTGGGGACTCCTGTCAAGTAGTAAAGGCCTGACTGACAATTATTTACAATGGGATAGTTATCTCAGAGATATGGCATCTTGCTCAGCCCACTTCTTCCACCTCAAGTCACTTCCATTTTCCATTCATTTCTCATTGTCTCATCAGTGGGGAATAAGAAGCTGTATATAAACAGTTGCTTAGAACTCCTCACCTAGGGTCCTTGTGGTTATGGGTCACACCAGTGTAGCCTTCCACTTTTGCTTTGGTACTGGTGGAAGAAAAACTTTTCCACAATGATAGGTTTCTTGTGAGCTGCAAAATTTAAACATGAAAGCTGCTCAGATTTTTGCCCTGACCATAAGAATGGATTAGGGAAGGAGCAGTGGATGGGAAAGGGAAAGAGGTTTCATTCTTAAGGACCATTGGTATCACGTGCCTCAGCTGGCGCTTACCAAGAGTCCTATTTACACAGGCCACTGAGACATTAGGTAGGCAGTATTTGTAGGTACCAAATTAAGAATTTTATAAACCCTAACCCTGTTAATACATAAATACTGTTTGACCTTCACAAGTTTAAAAACACCCTAAATGCAGAGGAAAGGGAAATTCTTTTCAAGTAAATGAAAAAAAGATAGAAAAAATACTTAAATTTCCTTCCATTACTGGTTCCTACCAAAATCATTCTTTATCATGATGGTTACAAAGCTTCAGCCTTGTTCTGTATCTACTATTGAACACCATGGTAAGCAAGAGTGCTTTTATTTCCCAATTTATTAATTTATACCTTTCAGTGGTTTAACTTTATATAGATTCTTTTTTTTGTTAACGGCATATATAGTTCCCAAGCATTTTGGCCCCAGAATCCTTTTAAACTCTTCACGATTATTGAGTTTTGTTTATGAGCTACATATTAATATTTCTCCTATTGAAGCTAGAGCAATTATTAAAATGTCTATTAATTTAAAATTCAAACTAATAAATCATATATAATAAATAAATTATATAATGGATATATGTTTACATAAAGAATATATTTTTGATCAAAAGTAACTATCCTTTCCAACATTTTAGAAAAATGTTAGATAAAAGAGTAGGAAATTACTGTAGACTGTAGACTGACTTGGACATCACTTAACTTCTCATAGTAGTGGAAGCTGGGAATTCCAGATTTGAGGCTGTTGTATGTTGGTGAATACCTGCTTGTAGATGGCTGTCTTCTTTATTGTCATATATCAAAGAAAGTGCTGTGTGTCTTTTGTAAGTGTGTTAATTCCATTTATGATGGCTCCACCTTTATATCAAAGGCCCCACTTCCTAATGCCCTCACTCTTGGAGTTAGGATCTCAATGTATTTGGGAAACATAGCATTCAGTCCCTAATTCGTATGCTACCATTTGTGTCCCATAAGGAAAGTCTTCTACAACAGATTTGCTTGTTTGTCTACAAATCTCAAAAAATAGCCTTATTTTATGTAGGTACATGTTTTTATATTTGATGTCATCTATTGGTAAAGATTTTTTTCACCAATTATCAAGGAATTTGTGGTGACTAACTCATGAATTACTCTTCTTATCTTTTTATATACACTAATAAGTATGACTTACTATTTTTAAAAATCTTGAGAGAATTTCTAAAAAGTTAATTTTGTGTCATTCACAGAGATATGCCTGTGATTTATGTACTTGAAATGATAGGTCACTCAATCCTCCCCATGTACTCAATTTTATTGACATACATTTAAAACCTTTTAGAACACTCACATAATTCCAGAAGCCCATTTGTTAGTATTTTTAGTTTTAGACAGTTGTTTTCTTTTCTGTGCTTGTTATTATTAAAAGGCTATCTTGGTATTTAAGGACTATATGAAGAGGCTATATGAGTCTTTTAAACATTTTAAAATTTTTTCATGTAGACATATATATACTAAATTTACATTTATACTAAGTATTATATACTAAATTTATGGTAACTTGTTATTATGACATGTTTATATATGTGGCTATAAATGGTATTGTAGTATAAATATATGTAGTGAGTCTCTGTTAATAGAGTGACGCACTATCATTTGTTATAGGTTCATTTTATCCTGACCTTTGTCCCTACAACTTGGGTATTTTACTACTAATTCCCTGTCCTACTGTAAATTTACTGGATAAGATTAACAAAAGGTAACCCTTTTCAGAAATCTTCAGGAACTTGTGGTGTTAGGATTAAATCAACCTTATTAAATGAGTCCAAAATGAAACGCAGAGATTTCCTCACCCCGTATTTTGAAGTTATTATCCATCAATGGCTTGTCAATGAAATCCCAACCTTTTGCTTACTAAGGCAGAGGAAATAAAACTAGTTACTCACTCTTCTTGGATTACCCTTATGTGACTTTCTATCTCCTTTAGAAATTCCTGCAGAACATTCAGTAGAAATTCAGGTAGCATCTGAGAGAGTTTTGTAGGTAACCATGTCAATTTATTTAATTATGTCACTCATTCTATTTAATGTACAGTAATGTTGGCCTTGGAAGCAAAAATGGTGTTTTGTAAGGCCCTCTCCCTCACTGGTTTGATCATTGTTAATCCGTGCCTCTCGCCTCATCATTACTCACCAATAATGTTGTTTCTGTTTCAGCTTTCACTTCCCAAGAGTAGGCAGGTGCTCTTATTGACTACTGGGAAACAGAAAGCTTATCTGGTTTTTTTAGGCCCTCAGGATCAGTGACAAAGGAACATGTTTGGAAGGTACCATTTTGATGAAGCTACCTTCAAAAATAGATTTAAGACTTTTTCTGAGAACAGAAGTAATACCAAATAGTTTTATGTCTTCTATGTAAACTTATAATATACATGAACAACTTTTTATTATTGAAAAATGAAAGTTGCAGGCTTTCTATTTCTACCCCTGGCCCTCTCCACTTTTCTCTTTACTCTGCCCCTTCTTTCAGGGGGATATAGTAGCAACAGAGTGGTTCATTACATACTTAGTAGTGACCAAGAATATCGATGACCATGTGCCCTGGATAGTAGCAGCAGCCATTGATTGGTATCTTTAATGTACATACTTACAGAATAAAACATTGCATATTGTTGAGTATTAAAATGGTTTTTAGTAGCCATCAGTGCCTTACAGATTGGTTGGTTGCTCCTTTTCTGTATACAGAATCTAGATTTAATATACCAAAATTAATTTTGCATTAATTAAATTAATGATAGGAAATTAAAATTTTTGTGGTACCTTAGAAAGGCTTTTTTGTAACACTTAATTCTAAATGGAATCTCTTGTTTTTCCTTTTAATTCTTTTATCATATGAGGAGATATGCAATATCCAAAGAAAAAAAATTTATTTGTAGCAACTGCCATATCTTGGGTTCATTTTAAAATGTCAGAAATCACTTTTGTTTTGTAGGACAAACTATCCGAGAGAAAAGAATTGTGGAAGCAGCAGATAAAAGAGAAGTAGACTATGAAGTAGGGGATATTCCAACAGAATGGGAAGGTAAGTTTCTGCTCTTACTAGTATCTTCTGAGCAGCAAATTGCTTAACAACATAGGAAATCAATAAAACCTTTCTAATTGTTTTGTTGGCTTTTTTTTTTTTTTGGCTAAAATGTTTACAATTCTTATCTGGAGCTTTTTGTAAATGTTGCATTTCTTTGAAAGTTGTGTAGGTAGCACATTTTAGTGTGAATGTTATTGTGAGTGGCTGGTAGTGGAAACAAACAATTAAGAATTAACAGAGCTAGGATCAGAGTGACATGCATGAAGCTTGTAGGATACAACATTGAAGGAGGAACTTATTTTCATATACTAACCTTGTACTTGCACAATACAAGAGTTGAATCTTGTTTATGTCATTCACTCCCTACATTTACTTGGGCAAATAACTCAGACTTTTCAACCTTAATTTTATCTTATAAATTATGGGAAATAACATGCTGTAGATACCATTTGGAGGATTTGTTTTAACATGCCAGTGACTCTCTTAACTGACTTGATGTTCAGATTAGAGTGGATGAACTGGAACCCTATCTTAAGACTTTGAAATTAAGGTAAAATATCAAAGAGAAATAAGTCAGTAGCAGTCAGTCTGTCTGTATAGTATAGTGTAGTCAATCTCTAGAAAAGAAGCCTATGAACTTGGTACCTAATGGGTAGTTATCTTCAATACCTAAATAATAGATGCAGATATGATCTATTTAAAAAAAAAAAAAACCGGGCCCTCCCTGGTGGCACAGCGGGTTAAAGCACAGCACTGAGAATCTAAAGCCGCTTCCGCATGAGTTCGATTCCCACCTGCCCCGGAGGTGACCACATGGCGTGGCAGACCTCTCCTGACCCGCCCGCTGCTCCCCTCAGCAGTGTACTTCGTCGATCTGCTTGTTCTGTTCTCCACTCTGTCTCTGGTGAAGCCTCTCGCTGCCCCTGAGCCTCTGGCCTGTACCCCAGTTCTGTATGCACAATAAATAAATCTTTAAAAAAAAAAAAACAGAAACTCATCTGCAAAACTTATGTAACAAGACAGAAAATAATTTCTAGGCTCATAGCAACTTTCTAGTTCCCAGTTTCATTTCTTTGAATAAAGTTCAACTGTAAGTCTGCCTTTGAGTTCTAGTGGCATCCCATATCTTTGTTATAAAATTTTTCTATTTTCCTTACCAGTTCTTAGTACTTCGGAAGGCATTAAAAATTCCAATATATGGGCCCTCCCTGATGGCGCAGCTGATTAGAGCACAGCACTAAGAAGCTTAAGCCACTTCCGCATGAGTTCCATCCCCGCCTGCCCGGAGGTGATCCACATGGCGCGGCAGACCTCTCCTGACCAGCCCGCTGCTCCCCTCAGCAGTGTACTTCGTCGATCTGCTTGTTCTGCTCCCCACTCTGTCTCTGATGAAGCCTCTCACTGCCCCTGAGCCTCTGGCCTGTACCCCAGTTCTGTATGCACAAATAAGTCTTTTTAAAAAATTCAATATATATTGAATTCATGAACTCTATTTTGACGTAGCTTTATTTGGAACTAAGTGAACTTTACCAACATCTATTTTATATATCACTTAACACTTGCCAAGTGTTTATCTGTATTCATGAATGCTTTACTATCATCATACTGGTTAATCATCACAGCAATCCAAAATGGTAGACACAGTAACCATACTCATTTAATAGATATGGAATCTGTGGTCTAGAAAGGTTAGTTGAATTGTTGTTTTTTTTTTTTTTAAAGATTTATTTATTCATTCATATAGAATTGGGGTATAGGCCAGAGATGCAGAGGGTGAGAAGATTCACCAGAGTCAGAGCGGGGAGCAGAACAGGCAGATCAAGGAAATACACTGCTGAGGGGAGCAGTGGGCGGATCAGGAGAGGTCTGTCTCACCATGTGGATCTCCTCCGGGGCAGGCGGGGATCGAACTCATGCGGAAGTGGCTTAAGCGTCTCAGTGCTGTGCTCCAACCCGCTGCGCCACCAGGGAGGGCCAGGTTACTTGAATTGTCTGGGTTATATACTGTTATCAGTAGACCTGTGGCTGATCGCTATATCATGGTACACTATATCATTGCATAGGTCATAGGCATTAAGTTACTTTCATGCCAGCATGTGAATGTGCATATTTCCCTGTAAATATATTTTCCATTTCTTCTTATTAGCTATGGAAATATAAGAACTCTGAGATAAGAACATAAAAATGGTTAGGTACCAGAGACTTTTGAAGAAATACAGTATATAAGCTGGCAACTCTTATGAGGAGTTAGTGAGTTTTCTAATTTTAACAGGTTTTCCAGTGTTTATAAGCCCCATTTGCAATTCTCAGATAATGCTTGTGCCTTTTTATAATGAGCTTATTTTGTCATTTTTTTAGTAGCAGTATAGAGTTAAAATATTTGTAGAAATAAGTTATGTTATAAATAAACAAATAGGTAATGACTACTAGTTTTCAGCTCTTGCGACTTTTGGAGAATTGGAATGAAGTTATAATGCTTTTTATGTCTCTGTCTTGATTTAGTAATTCAGCGTAACTATCCTGTGGGGCATACCCTTAAAACAAGTAAACAGCCAAGTGCTGAAATTAAAATTTTTTATTGTGTTACACATTAATTAAATATAAAAAATAAGAACTCCTTTCTACGAAAAGGTGAATTAAAATATAAACACCACAAAATGCTATGTACAGCAAAAGAAAGAGAAAACTTCTAAGATAAGTGATGTTTTACCAAATGAACTGAAAGCATTTTAGGTCCCTGTGAATTTCATATTTGTCAATTATCAGTAACAGAGCAAAGTATCCACAGGCTATATATCCTTCCAAATATGTATGTGCCCTTTTCATTCATTTATTTAATAAACATCTATTAAGGACCTCTGCATTCATGGAGCTTATATCCTGGAATGGGAGAATGGGTCCGAGAAAGACAGTAAATCAGATAAGTAGCTAAACTATACAGTACATTAATGACCACAGAAAATAAAGCAGGAAATAGGTAATGTTGAAATGGGTTTTTGCAGATTTAAATAGTGTTCAGAAAAGACATGGCTGAGAAGATGGCTTTTAAACAGAAGCAGAAAGGGTTGATTATCAAGGTAGTTAACATAGGAGCATTCCTAGAGACCTAGTACAAAAGCCTGGGCACAAGAACATTCTTTGATGTTGAAGCAAGGAAGCCAGTGTGACTGGAGTAGAACCAGAAGGGAAGTAATAGGAGGTGAAGTTAAGAAGTAATAGGATATCCCAAATTTGTAGGGCTTTGTAATCCCTTAGGAGGACTTTGGCTTTTATTATGAGTATTATCACTTTTGGTCATTAATAATATAGAATGTTTATAGAAATAAGTTATAAATAAACAAATAATGACTGAGTTTTTTAGACTTTAAATTAGAGCAGTCATATTTAACAGAATGTGAATTGTATTTAACAGGATCACTCTGGTTGCATTACAGAGTGATGGGGGCACATATCATAGAGATTTTAGAATTATTATATTAATTTCTTTTTTAAATTGCTTCCTGGTATTGTGTTGAATCATTATTACTTTTATTTAAACAGCAAGTTAACATTCAGAGATAAATAGTAAGAGCAATGAGGTTTATCTACATTGTTATAATTTCCTTTTGTAGATCCCAATTTCCATGTTCAATCATTTTCCTGTAGTTTCAAAGTATTTCTTGAACATTTCCTTAAATGTGAGTCTACTGCTGTTCAATTCTTTAAGTTTTATATTATTGAAATATCTTATTAAGGACATTGTAGAGATATTTCACAGGGTATCATATACTAAGTTGATAGGGTTTTTCCCTTCTCAGTAATTTAAAGATTTTTTATCTGTATCATTTCTGTTGAAAAATCTATTGTCATACTTATCTTTATCTCTTTGTATATAATGTGTGCTTTTTTCTTTGACTGTTTCTTTATTTTTAACTGGCTTTGAGTAATTTGATCATGATCTACCAAAATATAGTTTCTTGTGTTTGAAGTTTCTTGTGCTTTTTAGACCTATGGATTATGGTTTTTGTCAAATTTAGGGGAGAAAGGCCATTATTTCTTTGAATATTTTTTCTATCTCTCTCTCTTTTGGGGACTCCATTCACAACTGTTGACCATTTAAAATTGTCTCACAGCTCACAGATGTTTTGTCCATTTGTGGACACATTTCCTTTGAGTTTTATTTTGTAGTTTGTCTTACTGTGTCTTCATGGTCACTGATCTTTTCTCATAGTGTCAAATCCTATTATCTATTCAAATTATTTTTCATTTCAGGCATTATAGTTTTTATCTCTATAAGTTTGATTTGGTTCTGTTTTATATCTTCCAGGTCTCTACTTAACATGTGCAGTCTTTCCTCTAGTTTCTTGAACATATGGAGTGTAGTTAGAACTGTTTTAATGTTCTTGTCTGCTAATTCTACCATCTGTGTCTGTTTTCATTAGCTGATTTTTTTCTTCTCAGTATGGGAAGTATTTTTCTGTCTCTTTGTTTGCTTGGCAGTTTCTGATTGGATGTCAGACATTTTGAATTTTTGCCTACTTGGATACTGGATATTTTTATATTCCTATATATATTCTTGAGCTTTGTTCTGAGACACAGTTAAGTTACTTGGATACAGTTTGATCCTTTCAGGGTTTGCTTTTAAGATTTCAGTTGGAACTGGAGCAGAGTTTAATCTAGGACTAATAATTCTGCATTAGTCATTCTGAGTGTTATATTCAGGGCCCTATCAGCCATAAGATTTTCCACCCTGGAGGGTGGGAATTGACATTCCTTTTGCCACTGTGTAAAACCTTAGTCCTGTTTCTTCTTACCCTTTCAGGTAATTCTCTTCCTGTTTGCAAGAGAGCCTCATGCACATGATTGATTAGTACTCTGTGGAATATTTGATGGGAGCCTTCTGCTAATCGCCGGAGCTTGCTCTCATACATGTGTCTCTCTAATAGCTTGTGCAATGAATTTAAGTAACCTTGTTTCCCCAGACTCCCAACTCCGTCTCTGTAACTTTGGTAGTATTG